GCTTTTTGGAGCTCTTCAGCCTGGATTATACGTCTGCGGCTAAATAACGCCATCGTGAGCACTACATACTTGTGCATCCGTGTGTAATGCGTTCCTGTAGTAGTTATATCTCCACAATCTCTGCTGTTTGTGTACAGGAGACCTTGGCGACTGATACCGAGTGTATTATGTTGGAGTTAGAGCTAATGAGCATTAAGGCAAGGCAAGTTTATTTATATAGCACATTTCAACAACAAGGCAATTCAAAGTGCTTCACACAAAACATCAAAAGCATCATGACAGAGGAAAGAAAAGAAACATTAAAATAGAACATTTAAAAATCACTGAGATTATTAAATCTGAAAATATGTTCAAATAAAAACAATTAAAATGAAATTAATTTATATAAATACAGTAAAAATATAAAATTGAGTGAAAAGTTACAGTGCAGAGTTAAAGTTTAAAATCTTATTAAAGCTGTTTAATGAAAGGCAGTGTCTTCAACCTCGATTTTAAAAGAGCTGAGAGTTTCAGCAGACCTGCAGTTTTCTGGGAGTTTGTTCCAGATATAAGGAGCATAGAAACTGAACGCTGCTTCTCCATGTTTGGTTCTGATTCTGGGGACAGAGAGCAGACCTGTCCCAGACGACCTGGGCGGTCTGGATGGTTCATAATTAATCAGGAGGTCACTAATGTATTTTAGCCCTAAACCATTAAGCGCTTTATAAACCAGCAGCAGGATTTTAAATTCTATTCTCTGACAGACTGGGAGCCAGTGTCTTGGTCTTGCTGAGGACTCTAGCAGCAGCGTTCTGGATCAGCTGCAGTTGTCTGACTAATGTTTTAGGCAGACCTGTAAAGACATTCAAATTAAGGGATACTGGACATGTTGTTGATGCTATCCAGCGGACTAATCAGAGGGCTCATGGTCTACTTTGTTTCAACATGTAGTTACATTTTTGAGGAGGTGAACGTCAGGCGACGCACAAAGGCGTCTGCGTAGGTACACGGCTACAACCTGCGGTGTATGCTACACTGTAGAGTCAGCGCAGAAGTCTAAATCAGGCTTTAGACATTTAGCGTAAAAAAAAAGAACCCGTTTAAAACACCATGAGTCATAGGTTAATTAAACTTTTGTTTCATCCCCGCAGGTTGTTGGAGGAGCTGCTGAACAAGTTTAAAAGCAGCATGCAGCTCCAGCTCACCTGCTTCCAGCCGTCCTGCGTCCAGCCTGTTAAGAGATAAACTCACCCTCCTATATCTACTACTACTCTGTCGGTCTCTCTCTCTCTCTCTCTCTCTCTCTCTCTCTCTCTCTCTCTGTGCAACCTCATCTGCATCTTCATCTCTTATCACTGCATTGTTCACTCATCACTTTTTTTTGTGTCACTTTCAATTTCTGCCTCACTGGCTAAGACACAAATCTTATCTGATCTGAAAGAATCTGAATGAGTGGATTTCATTGTTACTGTGTAGGACAGTCCCAGTGGTGTGGGTTATGCTAATGACATGCAGCCACTCATGCAGCTAACAGACCGTTATTAAACAGCTAACAGGCTTCTGGGTCAGCATTGTGATCCACTCTTTCTGCTCAGACTGAACCCAGTCACATTAGTACGTATTGAACATTTAAAGTTGCTGTTCCTGTTTTGTACTCCATCTCTAACGCTAAATAAAGTGAGAAAGTTACATGCTCTACGTTCACATTTTTTAATGGAAAAATTGTTTTTGGTGCTTTTCACACGTCACGTTTTCTTCATCATCAAATTGTGTTTCCTTAGTTACTGGGAAACGTTTTTATAGTTTTGCCCCGCCTAGGGCAGACCAAGACACAACATGAAAAAAGACCAAAAGCCTTCAAGTCCCAAGCAGCCACAGAGACTACGTTTTTACCAAAAGATCATTGATATACTACAATCCTCTGATTGGTCCGCTGACTCACTAATCAGAGCGCTCCCTCTCATAACAACCGCTGCTGGGCTGCTTTTTGTCAGACAAACTTTCGCCTGGGTTAAGTCTTTTCATTGCAACTCGTGGAAACTGTGACCTTATTTTGGTTACTACACATGGTTTAAAAGTGTGTTAAAGAGGACATATTATCCCCCTTTTCCACCTTTTCAAACAGTCTCCTGTGGTCTAAATGGAACATATGTGCTGTGCTTTGCTTTGTTCAAAATATAACATGAATCAAGCACCAGAGGAGGTTTGTGACCCTGTATAAAGCAGCTCTCTCAGAACGCTCTGTTTTGGTGTGTGTGTCTCTTTAAATGTAATGAGCCCCCCCCCTGAGTTTTCCTGGTAGACATCACTCCTCTATAGCGAGAATAAAAATGGCAGACCTGAGCAAAAGTTTTGTTCTAGGCTGGGGGTGGAGTTCATGGGTGGAGATACCAGGGGAGGGAAGGTTTTTTTTTTTTTTACCAGACTACCACCTTGACATCACAAGGAGAGCACATTTGAAATAGAGCATTTTTCTCTGTGTTGTAAGACTTATGCAGACCACAAACAAAAGACTGGATGGGTTTATTTCACATTTTGTGAAAAAAGTGGATTTTTCATAATATATCTCCTTTAAGGGTGCCTGCAAGAGTAAGAGATCCATGATCCCAGCATTGCTCATTTAGCACAAACTGATGTTGGTGCGATTGTCAAATTGTGCACATAACTCTCAGCTGCGTCTTGAAGGCCCTGTTGCAGACATTCAGAGGATATGTCAGATACCCAGCTCCAGAAATGTGCACAGTCACTGACATGTGAATGAAATGAACATGAAAATGAATGCAGCAGAAACATATATGCATATCCAATCATCGAGGTTAAATATGGTCCCTTATGTTTCAACTTGTCTGAAGCTCTAAATATCAAACCCAGGTTTACCGTCTTTGCATATCAGAGGGCAGTTAGTCTGCGTGCATGTTGGTTTAAACCAGCAGCTTACACCATTCATCTCTGGAACTCCAGAGCTCTCTCATGCTGTTTTTTTTAACACACACACACACACACACACACACACACACACACACACACACACACACACACACACACACACACACACACACACACACACACACACACACACACACACAGAGCTCTCTCATGCTGTTTGTCACATCAGCGTCTAGACCTCTGGGAGGACGAGGGCGGGTGCAGGGCGTGCTGGTTCAGGGTGGGGAAGGGTGTAGTGCCGTTATTCGGAGTGCAGCACGCAGGAGGAGGAGGCGGTGAGTGGATCCTTGAGGAAGATGGCGACAACAGAAAGTGTGAGATTGGTCGTGGGTGGAGGTGACTTCCAGAGAGCGGTACAAACAGACAGCGACACACCCACGGCTCACATGAGAGGGGTTATCTAAGGACACCAGCAATTCTCGACTCGACGTGTGATTGTTCTGTTCACACATTCAAGTTATCCTCTTGCCTCAACTTTGTTTTTGTCCACATTTGTTGCTCTGGTCTCGGTTTCCCCTTCTACATTTCGGGGAAAGCCGTGCAGGGCAGGCAGAAGTTGTTTTGGTTCTCTGTGTTCTAAATTTAGCTTTCTGTCCTCCCCCGGATTCATTCACAAAAATAAGATCAAAGCTGAAACCTTTATCCGCTCTCTGTTTACAGTAACAAGAGGTGAGTCGGGGGGAGTTTTTATTTTTTATTTTGCTCTTTTCATACACCAGAACTCTGTTCCATTCAGGAGAAAATATGACAAGACCTGCAAAACACTGATCGTCTTTGATCTCCTTCAGTGTGTGTGTGGGGGTTATTAAAAGGATGGAGAAATGTTGACACGTCAGAGAAATTGTGATTGAGCTCACCTTTTTTGATCAGAGGACTGCGCTCAACTTATTCTGACGGTTATCCATCCAAGCATTTTGAATGTTCATTTGCATACTGCTACTGCACACTCAGTGTGACCAACTTGGGGTTACGTTTTATTGCCCAAGGACACATCGGACATGTAGCTGTAGGAGCTGGGGATTGAACCCCTGACCTTCCGGTTGAGAGACGACCGACTCTTCCAACTGAGACAAAGCCCTAGTTGAGTTGGTGAAGCAAAAAATAATCTGTTGTGAAAACACGGCACAGTGTGAGCTCCACATACACACACACAGTCAGACACACACGCACACACAGCACTCTTCTCCCCCGCTGGCTCCACTGATATCGTCCATCTTACCATAATTAAGCACCATTAAGCTCAAGCCGCAGACAAAATTGTCCTTTGCTCGAGCTGCATTTGGCTCTGTCCTGCTTTGTTGTGTTAGCACTTTGGTTAGCTCGTAGCTTCATATTGCACATAAATTGATCTAAAGACACTTACATGACATCCAAATAATCAGTGAGTATGTTCTTCTCTCTGGTCCTCGACTAAAACAGCTTTTATACACAAGGGGAGGAGCCCGCCGTCCCGTCCATGTAAACACGGCTCTGACAACAACACAGCCAGCGGGACTCGAGCTTCTCCCTCATTGTAGACAGTCATGACTCAGAGAGACATTTACACAGGATAGACTTGATTCCTGCTGGATTTATGTGTAACATGTCGCACATAAGCTAGCTGCCTGTGAGGCTGTAATGAGCACATTATTGATAAATGATTAGCTGCACCTCTGATGTGTTTACAGATTCTGTCCCTGCCTGCTAAGAAGGTTTTGGATTCAGAGTAAAAATGTTTCCCCTAAAGCAGGCAGCCACTATCATGTGATGATATCTTCCCTGCTCTTCTTGTAAATTATGTATTAAGCGAGGGTTTTTTGCCGATTGTTTTCCATGGAAGTGGAAACAGACTGTAATCTGTGAGCAGAACGCAGGAAGGCTTTCTCTTCAGCGCGCTGCGGAAAGCGTGGCCGACCTCTTCCTCTCTGTTTCCCCTCCCCTTGTGATGTCATCACATTGTTTGTTATAATGAAGTGTTTGATTAACCAGCCGCATCCTGCATCTGAACCACACTTCCTGTTCACACATACACACACGCACACACACTGACAGTACCCAAAGAGCTCACACACGCTGAAGAACAGAGGTCGTCAATCTTTACATTGAAGCTTTTTATTGTTTATTTACAAAAGAAGTGCTCCTCTTAAGGCAAAAAAACCCAAAAACATTCACCTCTATTTTTTCTCAGATTTGACGTTTGACCCCTCACATTTATAAATCTCTTCTGCATCTCAAATATCGGATTGAAAAACTAAGTTCACAAGAGCTTATATAGAAAGCATCTCCCTGAGAGTTACATTTAAAAATCTTTAGAAGAGGAGTTACATTCAGAAATCTTTCCACTCTTCGATGTGAACAGCAAACATGAAGCTACTGATGTGCCAGAAGACGAGCCGCTAAGCTTAGCATAACGACTGCTAAGATAACAGATAGCATAGCACAGTCCTAAGACATTCTTAAAATCTGTTTTTATGGTCTAATATCTGTTACATGTGCAGACTCCGTGACTTATCGCTGAAGAAGATATACCTTATCAATTAATTTGACACTCTTTTTGTGGAACATGCTACACATGCTACACATGCTAAACATAGGCTGAAATACACACACAAGCACAAACAGGGTCCTGTGGACATGCACTGATGGAGACACGTCAGAGCGAGGGGGCTGCCCACAGCGAGCGCTCCTGAACTGGTTATCTGCCCGTCAATAGACTGAATCATAGCGGCATGGCGCTAATAACAAAATTCCCTGTAGCGTTAGACAACTAGCAGCGATAACCATTTAATCTCTGAAGATTTAAGAGTTTCGTAAGAGTTACTTTCTGATGCTGTTGTCATTTAAAGTTCTGCTGATAAACTGTAAAGTTCAACCTGTTACATTTGTTCTGTGTTTCTCTCAGTCACTGTGGTGCTTTGCTAACATCTTTTTTGAAGCGTATGTACCTGAAAGCAACATTTTAAAGCCCTTTAAGACCAACGTAAACCAGATATTCAGCATGCAAGTACTACCCGCTTCAGCTACACTAACATACTGACCTGCAGGAAGACACTGATCGTTACATCACAGAGTCTCTGTTCGGACTAATGCATACATTATTATAAAGGCACAGTGTTGGTGCTAGCCTGACACTTGACAGAAAGTTAGGGTCAGTCGAGTTAGCTGCTGAATCCAGAACTGTCTTTGAGCACGCTTGTTCTTCAGTTTTTCATGTTGAACTTTTTCAAAGGTTTGATGAGCAGATTTTGTTACCTTTGCAATAAGTCAGTCCACCTGTTTCCCTTTGCTTCAAATCTTTGTGCTAAGCTAGGCTAACGGGCTTCATGTTCACTGGAGAGAGTATTGATTTCATGATTTACCTCAAGGCAAGAAAGTGAACATATCTTTTTAATTAAAGGGTATAACTTTCCCCCGAAGTATTTTTACAGTACAATCACCTGAGCTGTCAGTTTTCTTTGGAAAGTCAGAATGTAAAATATCTATAGTGCACAAAAATATCCTGAGTACAAAAAAAAAGTCACTTTGGTTTCATCACAATACAAACATGCCCTGTCAGTAAATGTCCGTAAGTAGATGTATAAGGCCGTCTGAGATCGTCCTCCGTGTGGAGAAACGGTCGTCGTTGCGTCTGAAAGTTTTCTACAGTCTCTCACTCCTCCTGAGGTCACTCCTGCAGGCTGCTGCTCTGGTGGTGTTGGATGGCTCTCTGGTAGTCCTCAGAGGGGTTTATGAGGTCTGAGACCCCCGGGTGATCGAAGCTGCGGTAGTAGTGGCTGCCCATCTGCTGGGCGTAGTACAGGAGCTGCCGGGCGAACAGCGGCTCCACCTGAGGCATCAGACGAGTCAGACAGGTGAGTGGAAGGCTTTACAACAACTGTCAACATATACTCAGGGTGTTGAAACTAGTATTTCACAGCATAAAGGGTTAATTATTTAAGGTTTAAAGTTCAGTTTGAAAAGTAAAATCAAGATTTTAAAGTTAAAGAATATCACTGCCCAAGACACAGGCCCCAAGTACAGAGGCTACAGTGGTTGTGGGTTTGAATCCGATCTCTAGTGTTGTAGTCAAGACCACATTAACCGAGACCAGAGTGCTCCGAGGCAAGACCAAGACATTTAGGGATCAAGACCGAGTAAAGACCAAGACCATAAATATCAATTAAAAAAATGTGTGTCACTCACTAACACCGTAAAAACCGGGAAGGTTGCGTCCGTAACCGAGGGATGAAAATCAGATTATGAATGAATTTAAGTTATTTGTTCTTTCAGAACGGTGTGTTTTCTTTTTAATCACAGTAATGACTTCCAGTGGTGGTCTCGACTGGTCAGTCTGAGACCGAGACAAGACCGCGTAAAAATGCTTTTAGGCTTTGATTCCAAGACGAGACCGAGACCTTGATCAGACCAATCTCTGCCCCGTATGAAGTTCGCTCCCTTGTAATGAAAGCAGTGTGGCAGAGCAACGCTTTAGCCCGCTGGGAGCAGGTACCTGTTATCATACTTTAAGGACGGTGAAAGGTTTGGAGAGTGAAGGCTCGGAGGTGCACTTAAAGAAGCAGTGTGAGCACCCTTATCCTCCTCCCTGCAGGTTAACGTCCACAAACATGTTTTGCATGTGGTCACATGTTGATCTAGTTGAGTTGTTATATGACAGTTTGTTCTGAAAACATTATCTCTGTTTTCTTCTTCGAGATGCCATCTGTCCACTGTGCTTGTTTACATACAGGTCGTAGAGCATCATGGCAGTAGCTATTTACCAGAGCAGAAGCCTCAGCTAGCGGCAGGAGGATACTTAGACACAACATTAAACTTGACTTGATATAAATATTAATAATTAGTTTACTTGACTAGTCATTCTTGTGCCCACTAGCGAGGATGATGTCATTAATCATTTAGTCAACTAATCACTCACATCCCCAGTTCTTCGGACTCTACGTCCTTTGAGTGGAAACATGTAGCATGTCTGAATAATGAAGTCCATTCACCCTGTAAGCTCTAACAAAGACACTAAAGGCCAAACAAAAAAGCTAGTTGTGCAAAGTGCTTCATCTCTGCGAGACTCGTTCAGAAACTGAATTTAAACATTGTGACTGTGAAAAAGTTCTCACACTCTTTCAAATCCTGATTTTAACTTTTCAGACCTCACGTTAAACTTTCAGGACTCAACTTTCAACCTTTCAAACCTCACTAGGATTTTATTGATTCTGATGCTGAAGATCTGATCTCAGAACCTCACAGTGAGTCTTGTGTTTAGTTGAGGGGATAAATGACAACAATGATAGAAATATGAGTGTGTGATGATATTAGAGGACGCCGTGGTCACCTGGACTGTGAGGGTGCGTCTTTGCCTCTGCGGGTCCAGACACTCGTCTCCGAAGCTCAGCAGGACCTGGAAACGAGGCGGCGGGCGACCGTGGAGTCCATAACTCTGGATCTCTGAAAAGCCACAAAGGACATGAAGAAATTTGAAACATGCATAACTTTGACATTAAAAGCTATCTTGACTTTTAGAAACAACTGAATTCATCAGAATTTCGCTTTAAGTATCATGACCTTTGTGAGATCGAATGGAAAGTCCTGCTCACACCATGTATGCAAATTCAGTGATCTGTCAGACAGCTGTGTGTAAGAAGAATGTGGGTGGCAAAGATGTGGCTGTGAGGAAGTCATGTGAGTGTTACCTCATCATGATAATAATAATACTTTAAAGAAGCTGCAGTTTGAAGCTGATATCAACCTTCTGAGGGGTTTTTGTTCACCCCAAAGAGACTTAAAGTAAATGAACTGTGAATGTCTTACAGAAAGTTTAGTCATTAAGGCTTCATTTTGTAACTTCATATCTGGACTTACTGTAAAGGTAAATGGTTAATGGACTTGAGCTTGTGTAGGACTTTTCTAGTCTTTCACACCGCAGGTCACACCTACACATTCATACACTGAGGGCCGAGGTTACTGTGTAAAATCTCAGTAGTATCTAATCCATTCATACACTTTCACACTCCGCCGGCAAAGCAGCAGGAGCAACTTAGGGTTAAGTGTCTTGCCTAAGGACACATCGGACATGAAGCTGCAGGAGCTGGGGGTCAAGCCCCCAACCTTCCAGGTGGGAAACAGCAGACTCTTCCACTGAGCCACAGCTGCCCCCCTCCTTACCCCCAGTTTGTGTTCTAACATTAGATTAAAAATAATAGAGAAGCAGCTAAACCCTTAAGGTTGATTCAAAAACTTTCTGTCTTCCTGAAAATTCTTTCAGGATTCATAAAGAGCAGCACAAAAATAAATCACTTATAACCATCGGAGACCTGAAACTTCTTCTCTTTGCAAATCTAAGAGCTAAAAAATGACACATCTTCTTGCTCCATTCGTACATTTCCTTTGAAAACACAATTATACTTGTATATTTTATATCAGTGCTTGTTTTTAAATATTTGACATATTTTGCAGATTCTAGTACCGATGTTTTTCATGACTTTTTTCGGCATAGGACTCCCACAATGCTGACATTTTCTCTCAGGTTTGACCATGAAAACAGATGACAGTGACTTCTTCTGCCCAATAAAAACCTCCTCTCTGACTCAGCAGTGAGGAGAACAAGATGCTAGCATTACACTGATCTGACACATCAGATACTGACGTCGGTTCATGCTACATTGTTAGCTGATATCCGCTCTGGTTGTAGCTTCTTTAGTAAATCTGAAGGAGTTGACTTGAAGTCGTCACCTTGGCCTTCAGATGCTCATTCTCATTTCTTAATTCAAGTTTCAAGGCAAAAGAATCGTCAGATAAAAAGGCGACGAAACGATTGGTTAGCTGTAGTTGCTTCCTGCCGTCTCACCTGTGAGGAAGTCCTGTGTGTGCAGGAGTGTACAGGTGACCTCTCTCTCCAGTTTGTTGGGCTTGTCTCCGTACTGGGACAGTCCTGCCTGCCAGTACACTCTGCTCTGACACAGCCGCCGAGCGTTGAGTCCCTCTGGGCCCATCCACAGTAACACGCCCCTCTCCAGGTCGGACGGGGGGCTCGGGGGACACTCGTCTGTCCTCCTCTGGGCGGACAGACTCTCTACGGGCAGGGCTATCACCTCGCGACCACCTGGCTGCATGAAGTGCTTCTCCTCGAGGGAACATGGTGTGATGTGACACCCCTCCGGACTGGAGACGGTCACCTCCCTCACCAGAGAGTCCCGGAAATATACAGACACAAGCAGGCGGAGGTCTAAAAGGAGGAGAGGATGACATGGGTGCAGGTCAGTGACAGTTTCTTGTCACAATTTTTGAAGGAAATGTTATCCTCGGCGCAGGATAGAACAGTGTAGGTCAATTTCACTCGCTGTTCTATACAACGGCTGAGGCTAAGAGGAAGAGGTGACGGACGTAGAGAGGAGAAACAGAGAGAGCAAGAAGCAGAGTGTGCATCCCTGCAGATTTAGATGTACTGTTAGGCTGTATTGTTTTATCAGTCTCTCATCTTTGTCAGCTTTTCTGGGTGAAGAAAGTCATCTGACCCAAGTTGTGTCTCAGGCTTGCATATTACACCTTACACCAAAAGTTGTCTCTACAATGGGCTGTGGACGCTAGCAGAGTCTTATTTGTGCAAAACTCGTTAATATTACTGAACTTCTGTCGGTCGACATTTTGGTCGTCTTTGGTTTCTAACAACCGTCTCCTCTGCTTGTCAACAAATGCACGTCATCTCAGCCCAACGGTAATCTTTCTCTTTCTGATTTCAGGATGTGCAGACAAGCAAAGTGAAGTGAAAGTGTTGGTTTACCTGAAAGGGCCTCTGCTGATCTGATGCTGGCGTCCAGAGTGAATGGTGACGGCTGACTGTCAGCGGGGCTGTACGAGTAGATGGACGCTCTGAGCTGGTATCCTGCACGCACAGACCAACAAACAAAGAGCTTATAAACGGACACGTTCACAAACTGTGAAGGGATGCAGACACTAGTGAAGTCGCGTTCAACACCGTACCATTGTCCACGGCCGGGCCCTGCCACGGTAGGCTGCGGGGCGGACAGGGAAACTGAGTGTAGGGCAGCTCAGAGAGGGAGGGCGGATCCTGACAGTAATCCCTCCAGCCACACTCTGCTGTGGGCATGTACTGAGAAACCTGCAGACACACACACAGTCAGTCCAACGTGCAGACACGGGGGCATAAACTTCTTCTACTGCTCGGTATGAGCTGAAAAAGTGAATTTGAACGGTCAAGTCTTTGGACTGCACATTTGAAGTATTATTAAAGCTCCACAGCAGAATTACAAAAGTATACATTTTAAAAACTGCGGCATATTTTAATGTATTAATTAAGTATGTCACAAAATGTAATTAATTATATTTGACGCATGAAGTCATTCAGCATAGTGCCAACACACAGCAGAAATCTGATACGCTTCATTCAGAGTTTGTAGCTTTTTCTAGATTTCAACTTTTTTTTTTTCCTTGTTGACCTTTTGCGTCAACAGTAAACAGCTTTTAGCTTTTTACATGAATTAAAAAAACGATTAAATGACAAATATGGATATGCATTAAAAGACCTTATTAGACCAATAAAAATACTCCATAATTGATATACATGAACCGTATGCTCAGAATGAGTACAGTCTCATGGTTTCAGGGATTCACAGAGAGATCAAATCTACAAAATATAATGAATCATGTAGATATACAATTTTTAAGTGGTAGAAAATGTGGATTAAGTATTTCTAAAATCCTGCAGACAAATGTGCTTTGACATGATTCTCACCCCTTAAACATCCCATCCTTCTCACTTCCCCCCCCCCCCCACACACACACACACAGGACAATCCACTCATCCTTTGTGTTGATTTTCTCAAAGTGTTTCCAACATTTGACAACATCAGCAGCTACAACTCCTAAACCTGTGACCTTCACTTTGCATGAGTATCCAAATTTATTCATGCATATACAGCTCAGGCATGCTTTCTCATCGACTGTCTCTGTTTCACATTCAGCCACCCTCTCTCTCTCTCTCTCTCTCTCTCTCTCTCTCTCTCTCTCTCTCTCTCTCTCTCTCTCTCTCAAACCCGCCCCTCTCCTTTCCCTGAGTATGAAAATCACCTGAGGCTGCAGAGTGGGATAGGACGGGTGCATCTGGTAGCTCATTGGGCTCAGAGGGCTGTCCTCCTGTCGGGGTCCTGAATGCAACACATACAAGAAGAAAGCTAATTAGACTCATAAGACTCATGCACAGGAAAAGTCCACACCTGTTGTGACCTTCACGGGTGGTTTTTCACTGCACCACTGAGGAGTCACTAACCTTTGATCAGTCAATAAAGGCATTTACACAGAATTTCCAAATTTAATAAAAACAAAATCAGTCAAAGGAGTTCACCCACTGACTCAAAGACTAACTCTCCACGCTTCGCTGGCGTTTATTACCAAATCACAACTCGTTTAGAATCTACAAAGTATGATAGAACAGGTGCCTGAGGTTGGACCTACTTTTCTTGGCGCCCTCTGGTATGATGCGGTAAACTTTGTACGGGTCTGAGATGTCCAGCTGGCTCCTCTCCACCAGCTCCTCGAAGTCGTTGCTCTTGTTGAGGGCGCAGCGGAGGCGAGTCTTCCAGGTCGGCGGATCCGGCTTGTCGATGCCCTCCCGAAACTTGCCTTTAAACAGCGCCCAAGCCTGCAGACAAAGCACCGGGCAAATGTAACCATGTAACCCATGATGAGCCTGAAGGTAGCCCACTGTGCAGCATGTAACCTCGTAAAGAGCCCAAAAACGATTACTCCAACAGGTATTAAAACAATTAGTCGGTTATTTGAGGCAGCCTGGACACCGAAAAATATTCGCAACAATTTCAGCGTCTCAAATGTGAATATCTTCTATTTTTTTCTTGTCTTTTGAGATCAACTTTTGCGTATCTTTAGACTTCTTGTAAGGACTCTATAACCCATCTTCAATCAATAAATGGTGCGAGAATTGACAAACAAAGTCGGCGACTAATCGATAATAACAAAATAGAATTATTTAAAAAATAGTTTACTTACAAAATAAAGCCTTTTTGAAACAGCATAGGCCTATATTTCAATATTTACTGCAGAATATATGCATTACCTTACAAGAGAAACTTTGCACGTGTTTGAAATGAGGAAAGTTTCTCATCTCTTCTTAAATAGATTATAGGCTAGTAGGCCTATAAATGATCTCCCTTTAATTTACATGAATCAGTTTGTAGGCTAAGTCTTAACTTAAAATAGTTTAAGTCATGAGTTGTAATGATGGATGGGCTCGGGAGGAGGCTGCGGGTGTTTCACCTTAAAAAGCGCGGCATCCTCATCTCGGTTGTAGTCCTGTTTCCCGGCGTGTTTCCATGGTATCCTGAAGATGCTCTTCTCGTCGTTCTCCCACACCAGCCCGGGATATTTCCCGCAGTCCACCTGCTCGATCAGCCACTGGCGCAGCTTTCCGTTGCCGCTGCTCCCGGAGCCTGTGTACTCCATCTCTGCGTTCATCTCTGCGCCTTCTGCCACACGTCCACTTGTCAGGAGTCTGAGGTGTTTCAAAGTGCTGTTGTTGTTGTTGTTGTTGTTGTTGTTGTTGTTGTTGTTGTTGTTGTTGTCCTGCAGAAACTTTTCACGTTTAGAAAAACTCTCTCTCTCAAAAAAAAAAACCCACGCAGACTAACTTCTGCGCCCTGGAAGCGCGTGGAGCTGCTCTCTTACCTGAAACTCGGCTCACTTTTGAAACACACTCATTCAGAAAGCCCTCATCTTTACGGCGGGAGCGCTTAAATCCTCCACCAAATGGCATGCGGCAAGGGGGGCGGGGACAGAGAGCCGGGGATGCTTAGGAGGAGGACGCACCTGCTCTCTCTCTCTCTCTCTCTCTCTCTCTCTCTCTCTCTCTCTCTCCTGCGAAGCTTATCAGCGCGCGCGCAGCAGCAGATCTCCAGTAAGACACCGACCAGGGGGGGAAACCCTGCCGGCGTCAGTCAGAAGTGTCACACACCCGCACACGTGGAAACTCATCAGACGGAGACAAAAACAATTCTTTGAAATGATGAACTTTCACGTAAAGTCACTCCAGAGTGGTCCTGCTGCAGAAGTGATGCGTGAAGTCTCCCTGCACATAGGAAGATTATGATCAATAACACCGCCGAATTTTACCAGATAACATTATTATAAACCGACTGCCTATTATTGAGAAAATGTCTGTTGTGCACTATTGTTGTATGCAGAGTACAATATCAGCAGTCTACAGAGTTCAGCTGATGAGAGATTTAGATTAACAGCAATACAAATCTTCAGATTCGTCTTTAATCAAATCAATTCAGTTCAAATAACTTTATTTATCAGTCTGGTACCGATCATAAATTTACTCAGAAAATAGGTATTTAAAAGTCCTGGATATGAAATCCTACTGAAGTCTGTGAAGGCTATCAGGTCTGTGTTTTTGTTAGATAGATACATAGATGTTATTTGGCATGGACATCATTACATTTGAATTCTAATTTATTTTGTAGAATAGCCCCTTGCATTTTAAGGGGTCCCTAACACAAAAACAAAGTAATACACAACAAACATACAAAACAACATTACTAACAGACGTATACAATAACACTAATACAGCCAGGGCCGACTCCAGCTATTTTGGTGCCCTAGGCGAGAGTAGGATTTGTTATAACAACAGGGATGCAAAGTTTATTATTCTTTTGTTCTTTATTTCTTTATATGTTCATTTCTTATTTTCAAGACAGAACATGAGGGAAGGAGCAACAATAGAGCACTTTGTCATTGAATTATTAGTAGTAGTACAGGCAAAATAACAAAAGTAAATAAATAAACAAGTAATCAAAAACAAGAACAGGTTGTTTTAAGGAAAGGAAATGAATGTGAGCTAAAGCAGTGGAAGGAAGTGGTGGACGAACCAGATGCAGAGTGTTTACGTGATTTAGCATATGTACTAGTTCTCAACACCTGTCCACAGGAGGCTTTTGAAAAGAAACAATTAAAGATAGCAATAAAGAGAGAATGGATGAATAATAAAGAAGCGATAGAAGAGCAGCAATATATTCAAATATACACATGTGCTGTACAGCAAATAAGGCATCATGATCCAACAATAAACCAGTCAGAAGCTATTCATGTGAGCACTGTTGATTTAATTTCAGCCATTGTTTGAGTCGAAAGCATTTCTGTTGCTCTCTAGTTTTATGTTAGTGGGCAGAGAGTTTCAAAGCTTTGCCCCCTTTGCAGAGAAAGCAAATGATATTATTTGTATTATTATTTGATGGTTTCTGGTGCACAAGCTGTGAAGGTGAAGTTTTAACACATTATCAGTTGATTAGGAAGTGTTAAGCCATGTTAATATATCGGCCTCTCTAACGACCTTCATTTTGATCATCTTCTCTCTATGGTGTGAACGCTATACAACAATAGATATTTATAAAAGTCATTGTGAATCTTAGAACTGCTCAACTTCTATAAATCAGTCACAATCAGTCCTCCATCAGTGATCAGACTGATCGGTCTATTTTCACACTGAGCTGTTACTGCTAATACGAATCATACTTTTACCATTATTACTGACACTGTGGCTTTAAATCTGTCTTATCCTCGGTGGCTCTGTCTCTCTTTGTTCCTGCAGAAGACTAGAAAAGAAATAAACAAGCTCAAGTCCATTTAGTATTTAAACAGAGTATTCACTTCATGGATTAAGTCTATCGTTTTGGAAAATGAATCAAGCTAAATCCACATTTTAAGTCAGTAAGTCATACTGTACAGAATTTTACAAAGGGGATTTTTTAAATACACGTCAAAGAGGACATATTATCCCCCTTTTTCACCTTTTCAAACAGTCCCCTGTGGTCTAAATGAAACATCTGTGCTGTGCTTCTGTCAAAATATAACATGAATCAAGCACCAGAGGAGGTTTGTGACCCTGTATAAACCAGCTCTCTGGGAATGCTCCGTTTTGGTGTGTGTGTCTCTTTAAATGCAATGAAAATGAAAAGACTGAGTCCTCTAAAGAGTAGTTCATTGTAAATGCATCACTATGTGTCTCAGCCTTTGGTTAGTTGTCCAGTTAAAATGATCAAATCAGCTCCTCTACTGTGGCTTATTTTATTTAAACAGCAACCCTCCCTAAAGTCGACTAACTAAATATGCAAGAGAAGTCTTAATTTCCCCATTTCCCCCAAGCGTTCCAGTTTGGTTCTGTCCAGTTCGGTTCTGTCCAGTTCGGTACGGTAAACCCTGATCTTGCTTGCATTTCCACGGCCAACCGTACCCTTACACATCACTACATCATAGCAGCGCGACATAGTGTAATACCGCCAGCAAATTCATCAGAGAAGAAGAATGTGACACAGTAAACAAAGGGCAATAATGGACGTCCAGCAGAGGTCTGCATCTCCGAGGTCGTACATGGGGCGGTTCTACCCGTTTCCACCAAGCGGTCCGGTTTTGTTCAGTACGGTAAATCCTGAACTTGCTTGCTTTTCCACAGCCAACTGTACCCTTATTTGGTAAGCAGAGTGTAAGCCAGATGGAGATAGCTGCGTCAGCTATGTAATAGTGTGACATCATAGCAGCCCAACACGGTGTAGCCCGCTATTAATTAAGTTCAACGTTCAAGAAGAACAGGGACACAGTAAACAAGGGAAGCTTTCGGGTCGGATCGGTACCCTTTGCATCCCAACAGAAGGGAACCAAAAAAGTAGGACCGTACGGATCCCTTATTTTGGTACCATTCCCAACTTGTGACGATGGAAACTCCAATAAATATCACTGTTTATCACAGAGGCCGTTTAGCCTCTGCTGGACGGACCGCTTAAAAAATATTTTTTGGGGAAAATTAAGAGAATACCCACTTCTTCAGACACCATTACACCACTGATGGTCGCATACTCGTTCGTCTTTTCACCATGATTTTTAAATGAATGATGTGTTTCACAGTTTGTAATAATTGACGGCAGACTTCTCTGTTCTTCACACACACAAGACATTCACATTAAAAAAAAAATACACACTTTTATACTGCCAACCCGGTTTTATAATAACATAACTGAAAGTCATTTTTGGACAATCTAGACTTTAATGAAACAAAAACAAACCTTCATGAAGGAATACAACTACAGTATGATTAAATAAATAAAAGCTGCTGCAGACACTGTGTGACTGGATGATACAGTGCTCTTCAGCTGTCTATAGAAAGTCATATAGTCATATTTAAAGTGGAGGACACAGCATAACAGAACTCGGGGGGGGGGGGAACTCACTGCTAAATGTACTGTATGTACATGTTTCTCTGGTGTCAGGCTTGACTGACCTTGCATGTTGTTTTGACAGTTAGAAGCAAAGACACCATTTGATGAAGGGAGGGGGGGGGGCTGAGGCAATGACACAAAAATCCCCCTCACTCACATGATTGTCCTGCGTGCATTTTGGTACAGACAGTGTTCCTGCTGAAGAATCGACGATGTGAGTCCAAGCAGAAGCTCACAGTCCCCAAGTGTTCATAAAATACGAGATTGACGGACGCCTCTCTCTCCTCTTATAACTCAGGTGATCCTCGTGCTCAGTGCAGGAGTGATGCTGGTCGTTATGCTGCTGCTGCTGCTGCCTTCAGATTTCTTAGTTAAAAGTTTTTCCACCTCCTCGCCATCGTTGAACGACACCTTCCCGTATCGCTCCTTCCACCAGTCTCGATACTGGAGAGAGAGAGAGCAGAGGGGGAGAAAGAGTGAGTCACCTTTGCTTCTCTTTGGCCTTCCTTTCAAGATGAATATGTTTTATCCCAACAGATTCTACTCATATTAATTTATGACGTATGCAGCTGTATTGTTGTTTTTATGTTTTAGGATAAGGGCTCAGTGAAGACCCTCCTCATCCTCATTATGCCCCTACTTCCTACTTATAAGTTACATTACCTTATGTTCCTTAGTTGCAACCGCAACCGCAACAACAGTGATGCAACCTTCAACAGACCCAGGCTCCGATATGGGACTTAACCAGGTAGTGACAATGCTTATTCCACCTACCCTACCACATGGCCCCTTCTGGACCCAATGGTCCAATTAATCCCACAACACCTCAGGAAGGCCGGACAGTAGTAAGCTCCAGGGACCCAGAGTCAACCCCTTCCATGCTAGCTCGTCCCGTATTTTACACTTTGATATTGCGTCCCGTTTTGAATCTATACGGGACGCAGTTTGTCCCGTATTTCCAAGATGCCTTGAACTCAGCATCATTCCACCTGCATTCAGCCGGCTAGTTCCCGCTTCCTCAGAGCGTCCGTTGGTTTTTTTTTGTTTTTTTTTGGCATGAGCAATGAGAGCTCTTTCGTGATTGGGTGAGAGAAAGTCATAGGAGTCAAAAGGAAACATGTCTGCGGCTGCCTCTGATACCTGCACCGTGCACCATTGAAACGTAAACAGATGCAGAAATACAGACGTGAGTAGAAAGTAATGACTGGCTTGACAGTGTCAGTGAAAATTGATATAATGTAAAGGAAACTATTGTAGGCCTACTTCGTATATTTTCTCCGATGTTTATAAATAGGTTATTCCAGTAGCCTATAGTTTGGATAGTGTGAATATTCTTCAGTAGCCTACATAAAACAAAAAGATGACATTTATTTTAGCCAAATCTGTATTCACAGTTTGGCCTGGGCGAGACATCATCAATACAGTTCAATCATAGTTCAAAACCATATTAATAGTAGGCTATCATTCATGATCTCATGAGAAAACAACAAAAACAACAGACAGAAGGAGAGAATAAATGAATAAAAATACTTTTAAATTCGTACTGTTTATTTAATTAAAAATCTGTCATCTTACTGCTCCCCTCTATGGTACAGCAGTGTCAAAAGCACTTCAATAATACTCTGTTAATGAATTAATGTTAAGTTAATAACTTTATTTGGAGTTTAAGTGAAGTTGTAAATTAGATAGGCCTAGCTAGTAGTAAGCATCTGCTGACGTCCTGTTAGGTGCATTTCAATGTGCATACATTACTGTATCTGCCTTTACACTGAAGTTTTGTGCTTGTACATTTTTTGGGGTAAAAATAACAGTGTGTGTTAATAAAGCACTTTAAGTATGACTCTTAAATATTACTTCATTAAAATAACGTTTTAAATCCTGATTCACTACAACTGGTGCCCCACCCCACCGTTGGGCCAGTGGTGGTCAGGCCCCTGTTGAGTTGCACCCCGCTGCAGGGTGTCCTGTATTTTTTTACATGGAAGGTGGCAACCCTAGCTCTCACTCTCCACCACACCCACACACAGAACTCCTATATTTGACCTTCTTTACCGAACGGCCTTAACCACCCAAACAGCATTGCCACCTCAACAGCGCCGGCCTCCATACATGCAAGCTCCAGGTAGTGACCACACTGATACTCCCTATATAGACTATAGACTAATGAGATGTTTTCATCACATACAGACTTCTGCATCAGCATGTGATTGCATTGTTGTTCCAGAGGCATGGATACACATTTTCAAACCCTGTGTAGGACTGGATTTCTTTAACCGTGTAAACAAAGAGGAAATTAGAGAAATGCATTAAAAGAATACTGTTGACAACATACAGTATATCATGAACTCTTAGTGATCCTATGATCCCTGAGTGTCACTCACGTCTGTCAGCTCGATGTTTTCAAACTCCTCCAGCTGCCGCAGGAAGCCCAGGTTTGGCCCCGCACACGGCCGGGCCGCCCTCACCGCCGCCAGAGACTCGACCCAGCCCCGTCCCGTCACGGTCATGATGTAAGCCACCACCAGGGTCACACTGCGGGACACGCCTGCAACACTGACAGCACACAGACTCACAACATGAGGCCCACTGTAGCAATCACCACATATTCAGAGAGTCAAACATGAAACCTCCTCGGTACAAGCTGTGGTTTAATGCTTGATTTTTTCTTCTTTGATTTGAGGAAGGATGAAAGATGATGTGATGTACAATGAAACAAAGTTTTATTCGCTTTGGTGACATTGATGTGGTTGAAAATGAGAAGTGACTTAATTGAAGATGAGGATTTCCAGTCAGTAATCACAGTTAGGCAAATTCTCCATCTTATGAGACAAATATCAGATTGCATGTTCCTTCTTCCTTTCCGCATTCTCGCATGCAAATGACTCCGGTTTCAGACCTTTTATAGTTTAATGTAACATATAATATTACTCATGTAACTTGCTTTCAAATTAAATAATAAGATGGACTAGACTAGACTGATGTAAGAAGTTTTGAAGAGGCGAAACAGCCAGACATTGAAGGACTAGTAAGTAAAAGAAAATGCAAACAGATGAGAACCAAAAGCTTTAAACTCAGTTTATTCATGTTTGATCAAAGCTGTTAATACTAAACACAAATGTCATTCATGCAAAAATATCAAACAATTGTAAATGGACTTGAGCTTGTTTATTTCTTTTCTAGTCTTCTTACTACTCAAAGCTGACTACTTTTACACCATGTCACACCTACACATTCACACCCTGATGGTAGAGGCTGTTATGTAAAGAGTCCATCAGAAGTAGCTAATCCCATTCATACGCGAGAAGTACTCAAACCAATCAGGGCATGAGGGAGAGAGAATAAAAACATATTTTTATGATGTCTTTTGCCTAGAGTAAGAAATGTAATGGAAATGTAATGTAGTGAATCAAAGCTGTCTCACTCAGCGGGTGTACATTTAACCTGTTGGATGGAGGGCTGAGAAACCTTTTCGATGCAGCCACCTGAAGCCAAAGCTAGCCATAAGCTAGCCTCGGACTCATTAGTGGAAGGAAAACATTTTTTTATTTAGGATTCAGTAGTTACATGTTGCAAACACAGGTATTGTATTAAAACAGGAAGAACAGATATACATAGAAACAGAGTTACAGCGAATACGCAGTCTTTTTATTTTTTGTTTACTTATCACAATTTAAATCGTTATCCCAAAATCAAACAATGTGTTCACACATCTTATATATTTTTCTCATGTCGTCCTTGGCCTACTCACCAGTGGACGAGGCAGCCCTCTCCTTTCAGTCGAGATTCATGAATAAACATGATGCTGTCTCTGAAGAACTGAATCCTGAGGGGGGAGGAAAAAAAGTAACACATTTGATGTTCGAAAACGTTACATGTACGTACATGCATATATGTATACTTTTATTTCTTACATTTAAAAAAAACAACTCTTTTTTTTTTTGTTTTTGAATTGTATTTTAGACTCTTTTATTTAATATCGATGGGGCGATGATAGATCAGTCTTTAGGGACTTGGGCTGGGAATCAGAGGGTCACCAGTTCAAGCCTCGGTGTGGACGAAGTCTGGAAGTTGGTCTGGTGGCTGGAGAGGTGCCGAGCTGCACTGAAACCCCCAACTGCACGGGCACGCCTTCATGTGCAACTCCTTCACTCTGACATTTCTCCAGTAGTGCATGTCCAAAGGATCCTGTTTGTGCATTGTGGTCTATGTGTGTGCAGCATGTCTCAACAACAGAGAGAATATATTCTTATTCATTTATGATTCATTCGTTATTTGCAGACTCTTTGGATTTTTGTTCAGCCTCTTTAATAAAAGGATGTATTTGTGATTTTTTTTACTAAACATCAGATCCAATATTTAAAACATTCAAACATAACTGACCTCTGAACTACACACTGTAAATGTATTAAAGCAGTGGTTCTCAACTGGTGGGTCGTGACCCAAAAGTGGGTCGCAGAGCTGTTTTCAGTGGGTCCGAATGTGTGACTGGGAAAAAAAATGAGTGAAAAGTCTATGAAGCGCTCTTTAAACATGCTGGTTTTGTACTTTCTCTTTGTTTCATCGTATTTTTTTTGTACCATTTGAGGTCCAAAAATCTGATTGGTTGAAAAAATATAAAAAATTTGGGTCACGATGTTCATGAAGGAGTTGGTTGTGGGTCCTTAGACTAGAACAGTTGAGAACCACTGCACTAAAGTATGCTGAAGTACTCACAGGTTTTGCTTGGAGTGGTCGGCAGCAGATATACACAGATACGTCATGTCCTGAAGGGCAAAAGAGAAAAGTCGTTATTTTATTTATTTGTTTGCACAAAAGACATTAAAAGCCCAACATGTAAAAATACGTGGAAAGAGAGAAGAAAGGAACCGAGAGGAGGGCTTTGGCTGAACCTCGCCATATTAGTAACTTTTAGTCATAGCACGAAGAATAATAGAGAAAAGTTAAAAGACTGAAACACCATCCTGTAACTTCTGCATGTAAACCTTTTGATTTAACATACAGCAGCTGGAGTGTTCATCCATTCAGGTCGTCCGTTCGATCACCGGCTCTAACACACTTCCTGTTTCTGGCTGGATGGGACAGCCCCTGAAACCTGGCCCCTCTGACCCTGCTGATGTGGAAGGTCATGACTTAACGTATGTTTGCCTGTGTGTGTGTGAGTGTGTGTGTCTTTTTGTGTTGTGTGCACCTGGCAGCTGAAGATGCTACATGAAGTGGACAGAAACTACCTCGTCCCGCTATGACTGCACCGCTGCAAAAACCCCAGAGCCCTCTGGGACACACAGCGAGCTCTGGATGTGCTCTGGTCAGGTTGGCTTACACACACACACACAGAAAATTAAACACCACAATACTTAGAGGAAATGTTGCAACCCTATTCGTAAACTTGTTTTCACTAACAGAAAATCCAGGGTATACAAAAAGAAATACTAAAAAATCATGAAAAGCATCACTCAGTGATATTTTAAATCAACCCCAGACAAACACTTCAATGCAATGATCATGCAAATTGTGAATTTGTGCAAAACAGTAATGTCTTTAGCTTCCAAAAAAGCATGCATTTGGAAGTATAAGTTTGATCCAATACACCTCCATTGCATTTAAATATTGTTGTGGTCTGTTAATCTGAGCCACACGCTGTGCAGTAAATGTCATGTTGGACCTTAGAGATTTGGTGGTTGCAAATTTTGGTCATCCTCCCTCAGAAAGCAACAAGCTGTCTTCCAAGAAATCAATCAGTCAGCAGTCTGACTGTTAGGTATGCAAATCAAAACATCCCCATCTGGCCATTTGGGCCCAAAAAAAAAAAAAAACCCTGAGTCATCTTTACACCACAGGACGTAAAACGCTGCATCATCCATATGAAGGCGAAGACGTTTAGAAGATGTGTCCGATCGAACTTAAAGCTGTTTGTCTGCACTTACTGACATCCTCTCTAGATCCTTCTTTGTGTTGTTCTTACTCTCTCAGTTCATCGCTTTGGAGAAAAGCGTCTGCTGAGTTAATTGTAGAGTTAAAGGTCAAAGAGAAAGACTTGTAAAGGTCAGTGAAATTCAGGCAGTCAGGCTCAATATCAGAGCCTAAAACCATTGATAAAGTTTTGGTGGTTGACCAGTTTGGGTAGTGATACTGTAATACAAGTTGCTGTTTCTCTTCTATGTTCAATGAAACATGTGTACAGTGGACGGAGAAAGTGTACAGAGATCTCTGAGCACTTCTCATGATTCGCTTTCAACAAGAAAAGATGAAAGTTGCGAAAGCAAGATTTTCAAAAGCGGGTCAAACGACGACGAAGAGAACTTTTTACACGGGTAAAAAAGAAATGTATAGATTGTAATCATAATGTATAACTTTTCTGATTGTTCAATAATATTTTGAATCGATAAAAAATCTCAGATTCATACATCTGGACTCATTTTGCAGCTGTACGATATGTTCTAACATCTGTAAGGTGTCAGAACATATGGAAATCAAAGGAGGTATGTTTCTACTTTCAACCTACTGGGTTCCCACAGTCTCTTGCACGTACACACACACACACACATAATCATTTAATGCAGTTGCACTTTCAAAACTTTACAAACTACAAGCTGCCGAGCTAAAAGTACCTTCATTAAAATATTGATATTTCCAAATCTCATGACTTACACATCTGTCCTCACAGCTGCAGCACGGACCTAAAAGAGGCATTCAAATGTTCAGACTTTTTACCGGGATTTAACACAGCACTGCAGAAAAGAGTCATGTGAAGTCTGGGTGAATTCCAGGACGCGACTGATGCAAGACTAGAGAGGACTTGCCGTGCAAAAATTGAAAAGAAGAACATCTGACTTTCACACCATTTGAAGTGGTCGACTTTCATCAGTCTTTGAGTGAACTAAAATATGAGTTATGTGTGAAAAAAAAACAAATACTTCACATCCTTTTTCCCCTCTTATTTATCCTCTCAACACTCAACCGAGGTTGCATCATGTGATGAATAGATCGTTGACGATGATCCTTTGGGGAGTAATAATGGTTAAGAGCTGACACGAATAGAAAATCAACAATTTTGATTTAGAATAATGTAGAATTTGTGTTTCTAAAGCCTAAGTTGCAGAGAATTTATCAGGTCCAGTTTCTCTAATGTATGCATTGCCCTTGGTCTGTCAGGTAACTTAAGAAATTAGAAACTGAACAGACCAGTTTTCTAACTTAATTAATGCGAGAATTGGTCTAAAGGTTAGTTATCGGGTGTGTATTATATTAAGTCAGTGTTGCATTGCAGGTCTGCAGTCATCATTGCACACTTTCAGAACGAGTACAAAGCAGAACAGACACAGACGGGGGGGGGGGGGGCTGTACTGGTGAGTTCAGGGGACGTTTGTGCTCTTTATGGCCGGATCATCGTTAGTGTCAGAGGGTCACACAGTCCAATAGGAGACAGCTCACCTCCAGGACTGGTGCGGCTGTGTCATGGATGGACAGGATGTGGGTGATGTTGTGCTGTGCCAGCAGCTCCCTGTCTCGTGCATCTGCAGACCACAAAGAAAATTAAGAAACCCTCAATTCTTTAACCATCCAATCACAAATGACTCCATGTAAAGCTAAATCTAAATAAAGCATTTTCTACCCGACAACAACCCCCCTTCTCTAAGGTCTCCCAAGCAAATGTGGCCTCATGGCTTCTAAGTTTTGTTCTGGTTTTGAACTGAAAGAAAAACCGGAAAACCAATGTTTCTAAAACAGTCGAACAGCTTGGCCAAAAGCTAGAAACTGTAATTGTTCTAATCAAATTTTAGTCTGTAAAAGGAAGCCAAATGTTTTCTAGCTTTGGCAGATGTGTCTTCAGCTCTTTTTTCTCATGCTTTGCAAGTTTGCAGGATACTGATGCCCCCTTTAAAAGAGCAAGATGAGTCTGTGCTGAGCCCTGCAGCCAGCCAGGCCTGCAGGCCCCAACAACAGTTTGTAAAAATACAACACACAAAAAATAAATATGAATGAGAATGCTGCTTAATACGAACCATTAAACCCTGCCACCATGCTTGCAGAGAGAACACAATCTAATTATGTAACTTTGATTTATTGCCAGGAACTTGAAGGTCATGAAATGAAAGAGGACCTGAGTGTGCTGGTCATTGACCGAATATTTTGATGGGGTGTCATGGTGCTGACGTGACATTGAAGCTGGTAACTATCTGTCCCTGTGCTGAACACAGACCAGCTACACCGCCCTCTGACACAACTTGTTGACTTGTATTTATTTATGTATGTCTGTCCCAACCCAGGCTCAGTGAGCTGGACAAACAGGGAGACCATTTAAACAATAATTTATTGAAAACTAAGGCAAACTATCCGGATAAAAGAATGTGCAACCTGTTAATCATTGGTGGTTGCCATGGTGAATGTGTAGTGTTGTGTAGGCTTAACAAAGACCACAAACCAGATGTAATGTTGACGTGAGCATCTTGTTTGACCATATAGTCATTTCATGACACAGAAATGTACACTTTCTGTAAAACAGCAGGTAAATTAAGAAGTGACTACGCAAAGAACTTCAAAACAAAGCTGCACAGGGTGCAATACGAACATGCAGGTGGGGCTCTGGATGGCCTAGCGGTTGTGCCCGTGCCTGCATGTACGGAGGCTGTGGTCCTCACTGCTAAGTAGCAGCTCTGCTTTAAACTATGAATTTGGTGTGTAAATAACAACAGCGTGGGATGATAATCAGACTGAGCCGAGATTAAGGGATTAGTTTAAAGCGATTGACAATGAGTTGAATTTAGATTTTTAACGTCGAGACAGTAGTGATGGACGTCAGGTCAGCCAGACGCTTGTTCCAGAGAGAGGGACGGCAGTAACTAAAGACCCCCTCTCCCGACTTTGTTCAGTGATGATAAATGGTAGAAGTGTAAAAATCAAGATTCTTCTCTTCTGAGATTTTAAATAGATTCATAACTTCCAAAAATCGATATTTCTTTTTTGCCTAATCAGTCACTCCCTGTTAAGAGCTAAAGCTAGCTCTTTAACTCAATAGAATGACAAATGGAGCTGCAAGAAATTCAGCCAGTCTCACAAATGACTGGATCCTGAAGTACTAATTCAAATATAGACTTTGAATTATGAATCCAGAATCATTTTGAATCAAAAATATTTTCTGAATCAAATCGTCATCCCAAGAATCAAAATCAAATTGTGAGACACCCAAAGATTCCCAGCCCTAAAAACTGGTACCATAAAATCTATGAAATTGTGGATATCGCCCCCTACCTAGTTTTAAGAAGAATCTAGTTAAATTTCCCGATAATCTGACGCATTTCCCCCCCTCTTTTCCCTAAGGACTGCTTCGATCTTCCTCGGTATTTCACCAGTTCTTTAAAAGAGATTTTTCTTTTCCTTCAGCTTCACTGCTTCTGTTCAAACCTTTAGCATTTCACTCTTTTCTACATATCTCCTCATACACATCTTTTTTTTTTCTTAAAAGGATTTGTTCAAACATGAGGGCATACCAGTGAAAACTGAAGCCTTCTTTAAAAATGAAAGCTATCAGATACCCTTTTCTGACCGTGGTTTCATATCAACATGAGCAATCCATATTTTTTTGAAGACATTTCCTGTGCAGTCTAAATTTCATGTGTGCACTTTTTTTTAAAAAGCCACAAATTATTGCATCTCCAGCTTTAATATAAAGAAATTAAACAGTGAACACAGGGGGGACAACCCCATACTTTGGGGACTCCCCTCCCACACTAACGCTCACACACTCCCCATAACCTTCCTTCAGCCGCAGAGGCTTACACATGAACCCACGCAAGCTCACATAGACGACCTGCGTAAAAAAAACCACATAGTAATGATTTTTTAAAACATCTTATACACGGTTCTTCACTCATCCTGCTCTACACTGTGACCTCTCTACTCTATAGAAACTGAGCTCAGTGTAGCATCTCACCACATGCCCCGTCTGCATGAGGAAATGAAACAAAATCTGCATTATCCTGAAAATAAATAAATTCTTCACTCAGATTTAAAGACACAGAGCAGCTTACCTTTGAGATTTCCAAGATACAGATCAGGCAGGACCTTTAAGACATTTAGAAACGGAGTCACATGTTGATGCAGGTATTGTCAAAGTATAACAAGGATGTAGAAGTAATTAAGGTTTTTGAATCTTCCACGGGGAACCATCTGATATTTTACCTTGTTTATGCCATTACCCATCTCTGCCAGAAGTCTCAAGAACAACGCAGCAACTTAAGAGCACAATCTCGATTCAGTTCCTCAAGTTGTGTATCATTCAGAGCTCCAAAAGGGGAAAGTTTACAGCTATGGTTGACTCCTCTCCTCTGTAAAACAATAATCCACTAGCTGTTACTTTGTCCCATCGTTTTCAATCCGCCCCTGACAACTTTTTTTTTTTGTGACCCAGCGTGTCATAAAGCCTTCAGCGCGTTCACAGCTCGTACTCTGAGTGCTACTTGAATGAGAATAGCCTGCTCGGGATGACGTAATGTGACCTTAACAGTGGAGCACCCTCCTTGGATATTTATATTTAGACTAAGAGGGGGGTCACGGGACTGTGGATGGGCACATACCAACCAGACAAAGATGGTCGAGGGTGCAGAGGGCAGAGGAGAACACATCCAACAGTGGGCCACGCCTGGCTATCACTGTCTGCTGAGACGGTATACCGTACAAGGAGCCCCTCTCCATGAGGCCCAAAATAAAGTTATTCCCCGTTGTAAAAACAAATACCAACATGCTCGTGCCAATAAAGAAACAACAAATCCTTTGGGACGTATTAACTCTACTGAGAACCATGAATATCTTTAACGTCTGTACAATTAACCGGACAGCTCTCATAGAATTTCAATCAAAAACAAAAGTATAAACCTGCGGGTGGCACTAAGAGAAACATCCTGGTATCGTTAAAATAAATTGGATTTATCCTCTGGGAACCATGAATATCTGAACCAAGAGTCATGGCAATCAACCTGATAGAATTAAAGATTTATTTTGTGGGCTTTTTGTGAGAGACAGGACTGTGGATAGAGTCAGAAACCAGGGAAAGAGATAGAGAGAAAGAGTTAGGGAATGACATGCAGCAAAGAAGCTACAGGTCGGATTCAAACCCTGGGCTGCCTGCTTCGGGGATGGGAGCCTCTGTACACAGGGCGAGTTGTTCACTGGCGCCTCAACCCAAAAGATTTATAAGTGTTGTACTCAGTAACAAAAATGATCTTGGTCTTAAAGAGAATATATTATCCCCCTTTTCCAGCTTTTCAAACAGTCCCCTGTGGTCTGAATGAAACATCTGTGCTGTGCTTTGGTCAAAATATAACATGAATCAAGCACCAGAGGAGGTTTGTGACCCTGTATAAACCAGCTCTCTCAGAACGCTCTGTTTTGGTGTGTGTGTCTCTTTAAATGCAATGATCCCTCCCCTGAGTTTTCCCGGTTGACGTCACTCCTTCGTTAGCGAATAAAAGTGGTGGACCTGCGCTAAAGTTTTGTTCTAGTCTGGGGATGGAGTCCACGGGTGGCGATACCAGAGGAGGGAAGGGGATTTCTTTTACCAGAATCCCACTGTGACGTCACAAGGAGAGCACATTTGAAACAGAGCATTTTTCTCTGTGTTGTAAGACTTATGCAGAACCAAAACAAATGACTGGATGGGTTTATTTCACATTGTGTGGGTCGGTAGACACTCAGGTTACCCAAATATATGTTCAAAAACACTGAAAAAAGCGGATTTATCATAATACGTCTTCTTTAAAGGAAAAGAAAGGCGATCACATAAGTCAATAATATTCATCATTTGGGAACCATGAATGTCTACTAAAGTGCATGGCAATCAGTCTGATAGTTGTCACAGTATTTCCTCTGCTGGGCGTTTTACAGGAAGTTTATTAATTTTTTCCTCAAGAAACAACGAATATCTGAAACAATTTGATTGGCTGTCAATCCAACAATTGGACATTTATTTCAGTCCGGACAGAAGAATCATGATTTTGCCATCCCATTGCTTTATGTGTAAAATAAAAGGGGGGAGTGGAGAACAAAAACCTCACACTTAACGCTGTTTTATGAGATGCTTCAGGACTCACTGAATGAGAATTGTATAACAAAGTGTTTTTCATTTTCTCAGATCAAAGAATCCTCTCCATTTATTTTAAATCATCTGTTTGTTTCTCAGTGGACATCCACTTAAATCCCCCTTCAGTCGCTGCATTTCCAGTAAGTTCTGCTTCATCAACACGTCGCTCTGAGGCGATTGAGCTATTTTTAGCGCGTCTTTGTCGCCTTTTGTTGTGTTCCTGTGTGTGGTTCAGTGTGTGGCACAGCTCAGACGTGCTGACATGCAGAGCAGAGTGGAGGCGTTTACAAAAAGCTCTGTGTGTCTCTGAGAACTAGGTCTGAACAGCTCATCACACTAGCACCAGGGTCAAACCCATTGATGAACAGACACATATCACACGATTGGTTTAGCTTTGATAGTGCTTAAAAACTCCTCCATTAGAAGCTCACAGTGAGCGTAGGGGTGTACGGGATGAGTAGGTGGGGGGTTTGTTGTAAATATTAAATGGTGTGTGATGTTGATGATTAAATTGTTCTTCGAACAACCACAAAGCATAGGTGATGGATTGGTTACAACAAAACAATAACAATGTGACGAGTGGATGTTCTAGGTCTGCAGGAAAGTTTCATATTACTGCTGATCTATCTCAAAGTTACTCCCTTGATTTATCAAACTTCTTCGACTTTCAAGTGTAAGACAATAATGAAACTCATCACCGCACCGCACTTTCCTCGCTGTAATGCCATGACTTTCAGAAGCATTCCTGAAATTAAAGTTTTACTTTCAGATCCATAACAACATCTCGTCTCCATGCACAAGATCCAAAACAAGTCAGGGACGCATCGCTAGATCGCCCTCTCAAGCATTAATCCCAGTACTGGTTTACAAAACCAGCTGTGGTCAGAGGCTGTGCTTTCATTCAGACACTCACATCTGGAAGAAGGTCCCACATAATATCAGGACAACGACCTCATCTCAAGCAGGCATTTAAACACCACCTGATGAACGGACAAACCTGTAATCACTGATTTAACTAATACCGTATATTTAGTTCTATGTGTTGCTGTTGGTCCATTTTAAATTTGAATTCATGTCAAATGATTTAAAATGGAAACTTGGGCAGTGCGTGGTTAGTGCTGTTGCCTCACAGCGAGGAGGTTCCTGGTTTGAATCCCCGTCTGACAGGAGCGTCTCTGTGTGGAGTTTGCATGTTCTCCCAGTACATACTCAAGTTCTCTCCGGCTACTCCGGCCATCTCCCACAGTCCAAACTCATGCTCCTTAGGTTAATTGGTGACTCTTAACTGCCCGTGTAGGTGTGAATGTGGCTGGTTGTCCGTCTTTAAATGTCAGCCCTGTGATTGGCTGGTGATCAGTCAGGGTGTCCAATGACAGTTGGGGTCGTCTCCAGCCCCCGTGACCCAGAATGGGTATAGAAAATGGATGGATGGATGGATGAAAGAAATGCACTCGTTTAAATACATCTTTGCTGTTGAAATTATAAACAAAAGCTGTTCCTGCAGTGTGCTCTTAATCACTTTGTGTGACACCTTACCCACAGGGGTTTCAGACATTAAGTAACATAGAGATGATTAATCGTGTCCCTGGTGGTCTCTTTAAACTTTTGTAGGTCATACAAAAACATCAGTATCAATTCAAGTCTGTTTCTTGGCCAATCAAAAACTCCTCACCGCAGCTTTAAGGGGAAAGTCCTGCTGAAAGAAACACCTGCTTTCACACTGAACACTGACTGTAACATTATGATCTTTAATTTCTCTGTTTCAAACTGTGGAGGTCGAAGAGACTTCCTCAGGAAATGAAGAGACCTGTGAAGTAAAATACAAAAAAATGACCGCTTTTAGCTGAATTTATTTAGTCGAGTATTCTTGCGTAATTTCACTTTAAATCCTTTGATCACTAAGACCATGTGAACCTGTCTGTGGAGTGCAGCTTCCTGGATTCCCATCCTGGTTAGAGTAGCAGGATTACATAAGTCTCTTTTTAAACTTTAACTTAATAAACTGTGCAGAGGAGAAGAAAGAGACATGGCGCTGTGTGTTGGCAGAGCTCGTTTCCTCCTCAGATACAGAAGTGACATTCAACGAGCCATGACAGCGACTCGGCCGCACAGGTAAAGTTCTCACCTGCACGTTTATTTGCACAAAAACGGACTTTAACCGCTTAATGCTGCAAGACATGAACCGCCTGGCCTGCATTTAGCGACGTGTTCATTACAGGTATTTGTTTTTTTTCCTGTTTAGAAGCTTTTTATTTTATTTTATTTAAATCCACAAGATGGCGCTGTGTGCCAGGCTGTGCCACCCTGAACCAAACGCTTACATTCCTGCTTTAGAAAATAAGCATACTCTGAAGCTGCATCTCAGAAATGTATTAACAATTAGTCTATTTGAATTATAAATGGTGGTTGGCGTATTTACTGTTTTATCTTTAGTTGTCGCAGAAGCTGTATTTAATGGATCATCTATGTATTTAAAATGTCTTTTTTTTTATGTAAGATGGTTTTTAAAGAAGTTCTGGAAAAGTTTTTTTTTTTTTTAATGATGATAATGAAACAGCAGTAATCTCTCCTGTAATGTTAGTTGTTGTATGTTACAGCCAACATCCTTACTGCTGAAAATGAACCAAATATGGTGGGAAAAATGATCTAAAAATAAAAACAGTAGGTCTATACGCCCTCAATTTAAGGAAACAAAAAATAGGGTAATTTTGGTGCTGGAGTTGTCCCCTCAATATAGTCATAAGACATCTCTCTTTGCAAAATAATAGTGAAACTGGTCATGTGAAGCTTTTAAGAAGAACATATATTTTATTTATCCTGAGAGGGGAAGTTCAGTTTTACACTCTGTTGATGAGCATGCTGCCCACAGTGAGCGCTCCTGAGCTGGTGGAGATGGGGGGGGGGGTTTGGTGCCTTGCTCAGGGGGCACCTCGTCAGTGCTCAGGAGGTGGACTGGCACCTCTCCAGCTACCAGGCCAATTTCCAGACTTGGTCCGCACCGGGTCCTTGAGCCTGCGACCTTCATGTTTCCAACCCAAGTCCCTACAGACTGAGCTACCTGCCGCCCCCCCAAATTTGTCTTCCACTGACAACATAACAACACAAGATAACTGACAGAAGAGCT